TGTTAGTTGAATGTGAGACATATTAAGACATTTCAGGCCAGTTCAGCACTCTGTGTTTATGTGACCTTAACCCTGTAATGCCAAATCTATCATATTTGATACATGCGGTTTCTGAAATGTTTTGGGTCTGACACCTTTTGCATAATTTAATGGTAAAAACTTTGCTCAAAATCCTATTGTACACGATCAGATATACCTGATAGCAGAGGGCAGAAGACTACACAAAGAATAATCTTGACCTATCGCATAGTAATACGTTATTAAAATCAAAAATGTATTTCTTTTTTTTCTTTTTACTTATTTTGTTAAAAGGCCAAATAAGGACTTCAAACTAAAAAAAAAATAATTTTCTGTTTTGCTTTATTCTTGGATCGGGCTTTAAAGGGTTAACGGGTCAGATCTTGGTCATGTGACCCAGAGCGCCGCCTAACGTCAGCCTGAGCTTCCCTTTAACACCAGAGATAACTAAGCTAACAGTTGTTAGCAAGCAAACAGAACTCAATAACTTTCATCTGCTGCTGGGAGCTGGGACACTGTTTAATTAGGCTAATGGGCAGTACCAACAGTGGCCTTCAGGGGGCACTAAGACAGAAATGAACTGGTCTAGCGCCCCTAGTGGCTAAAAGCTACACAGTGCTGCTTTAATGTTTGATATCAGTTATATTTCCTCATCTTTAGACCAACTTAACAGGGTTTTTCAACTGTTCGTAATTATTTGGCTAAATAACTGTAAAAAAAAAAAAAAAAAGACAAATGTTGATATTTTTAGATGACAAACCCGACAAAAAGTTTTAAAAATTGAAAAATGTTGAAAAGTAAACCCAATAGATGTTAAGACTGCAGCACTCCTACTTTATTGCTAAACTGCTAACGTAAAAAGATTTTAATCATGCTGAAGTTGAACACAGACGTCAGTTTTTGATCTGACATATTTCAGATTCACCTTCGTGTCGTGTGACAGTTCTTTATTCACAGATTTGGTCGTTCATTACAACAATGTGAATCCATAATAAATAAGCACCATAGATGAAAAGAGGAATCTTAGTCACATAAAAGTACCTGCTTACATCCCATAAAAGTAAACCATGAAAAGAGAGGGTGGATGCCACAGCGTCCAAATAAAATCACACTTTCCAATGAAACTGTTGAAGTTTTGAGGCTCTTTAAGAAATACCTGATCCTGGATATTTTTTTTTCATATTGGTGAAAGTCTAAATAAGTATTTTTGTACTACAGAGCTGGTTTTCATCCATAACATTCACTATAATGACACATTCTGATGCAAAACTTCCAATCGCTTCACAACTGGCTAACGACAATTGGCACCATTTAGGGTTTCAGTAGCATCAGGAAAATATTATTGGTTCTGTTCTACAAAGCACCATATCTGAGGATAGGAAGCAAGAAACATTATTCTTTTTTTTTTTTGTTAAAAACACTTTCCTGAAGGCACAGCCAGGAAACTCCATTGTTCCTCTGAGGGCAGTGTTCAGCTTCATGTGCCAAAACCAACATGGCTTCCAGGCCGTCCAGCTTCGCTGTTCAATGTGTGGAACATTGCAGTGGAAAAGTGTTTCCCCCGTCTCTGATTCATTCAGTTTAAACCAAAATGTTTCAGGTTTTTAGAAATAAAACCCATGTCAGCACCTTATGTAGGATTTTCAACCATGATTTCTGGTACTAAGGAGAAAGAAGATCCCCAAGCCGAAGGCCTCTCTGTGGACGTTAAAACCAGAACCAGTCTGTAAGGGAACAGATCTTTTTTTACAATTCATTGCAGTTATTTCATCCCTGGGATATAATTTGTACAGTAGCCATTCAAAATTTCCCCCCTTTCCTTGGCTGGTCCCCTTCAATTCCTTCTTTAAACATCCATCTTTGTACTAAAATATTCTTTCTGTCGTGATTATTGGACATTAAGATCTAAAGAGAAGCATCATCTCCTGGTCAGACCCTGTAATTCAGTCAAAGGTTGGAGTCAGTAAAAACTATTCACACCCAGGAGGCCAGTGGCTGGAAGTTGGAGGGGATTTTGCTGTCATTCGGCTGCTTTTGACTGTGAAGGGCCGGTTTAAATGGCTGCTACTGTAAATTAAAGACATATTTACATTGCTAATGGACTGGTGAGAAATGAGAGGCACTGGAAGGGCCTGAGGACATCTATGGGATTTAGGCAGCTGTGGCAGAAGACCTTTGTATTGATCTAACCTATCAAAACCTGATCTTAATACAGCAATCAAACTTAACCTCGAGCTTAGCCATAAAGTAAACTGTACAGATATAGAAAAAAAACAAAACAACAGAAAGCCTCTGTAAATGCTATTACTGTAAGAGATCTGTTAAGCTCAGGTATACAAAGATAAAGTCGTGTTGAATTTGACCAGGTTCACCTTCAGCGTCTGGTTATAATTTCTCAGCTCTTCTACATTTAACTTATCAACTGACCCTGTAACCCAAGAAAGTACAAAAACTGAACCCAGTTAACTCGGGTTTACCCAGCTCCAAGCTCAACCCAAGCGAAGAAAAAGTTTTTCCACTGAAGTACACATTTTAATTGAAGTGCGATGAATCTGGTTAGGATGAGTATAAAGTTTTTAATCAGGTTTTTTTCTGTACCTTTAAAGTATTGACTATTGAAATTGAAATGTCCTTACTACTTAGTTTAAATGACAAACCAGTGGAAATTAGTGAATGGAGCTCAGTTACAAGCTTAAACCCAACTAGCAATTTAAGCCCCGTTTCCACTACCCTCTGAAAACCGATCCGTGCCGAGCTTGGATCAGTTAAGCTAGGCTTACACTGTAAGATTATTTGCCCTTCTCGGGCCGACTTTCCAGTCGTGCGAGAATCTTTCCATCGGGCCGACTTTCAGCCTGATGGTGCGTGGTGTAGTGTACGGGGGTAACGAGAAGCGATCAGCCTCTAACGACCACCTCCCCATCAGGAATCGTAAGGTGGGGAGAAAATCAAACCTGTTGGAAATTCAGTCAGCCGTCATGGGCAAATCACTCAGTGGGACTCTTCTTCTTCCTCTCAGAATGGTAAATGGTATGTACTTATATAGCGCCTTTATTCAAGTCAGGAGATTTGACCAAAGCGCTTTACACTACATTCATTCACCCATTCACACTCACACACTGATGGTGACGAGCTACATTGTAGCCACAGCTGCCCTGGGGCTCACTGACAGAAGCAGGGCTGCCGTACACTGGCGCCACCGGGCCCTCAGACCACCATCAGTAGACAATGCAGGTGAAGTGTCTTGCCCAAGGACACAACGACACTGAAAGTCGGAGCTTGAACCGTTAATCCTTCGATTTTAGGGCAAACTCCTACATCCAACGCCACTGTCGCCCTCTCAGAGGAAAACGCAGAAGCATGGTGGGGGTGTAATGAGTGAAATGGAATTCTCTCTGTAAAATTGACAGATCATAGTAGCCATGTTGCTCAGCCATGTCTTTGTCCAAATATGTTGTCGCCTTTTGTTTTTAGGGCTTTCAGCATAAAATTGCACAAATTGCCAAGGCAGCGCATTTCACTCTAGTGAGCTTCAGATTCCTCTTCTACTCATTTGGCTTTCGGATAAACGAGTCCAGTAGACGTACGTTGTTAGCAGGTAGATCGTATCAGAGCGTCGAGCAGTACAGTGTGACAACAAACATCGTGAGCTGGGAACTCAAACTGTACGACGAAAACCTGCGTTTTTTCATACAGCTGCATGCAGCGATTGAAAAAATCGCAGTGTATGCCCGGCTTTAACCGTGCCGAACTCGGTTCCTTACGACCGTTTACACACCACGCCAGCACGGTTCCTCTCCTCCTAGTGGCGATATACGGTAATACTGCTCTCTAGATGGAAACGATCAAATCAACATAGCTGCACCCGTAACATTCAGGAAGTTTATGGAGAAATAAGCGAAGAAGGCAGCCTCTCGTGAATTTACTTGACAGAGTCGGCTTTTGGGAAGTGGATACGACAAACGGTAGTCTAATCTGGGCTTCCAGAGGCAGAAAAACAATGACAGACGTTGAGGTTCATCACGCTGCTAAGCATAAACATCACTGGAAATTAGGGATGCCAACCGTCCCTTGAAATACAGAATCGTTCTGTATTTAGAAATAGAAGTACGTGTCCCGTATTTAGTGGAAAAGGAGCGCACTTTGTCCCGTATTACGGTGAGAGTAAAAAATAGTCAGTAAAAAGCTAATAGAAAATGAAAACGTTAGCGTAAACGACACGTTAGACACAAAACTTACAGTAAACCTGTCCTGCTTTGTGAGCAATGAACTGACAGCATATATGTAACGATCCAGAATCCCCTCATCCCATTGGTCGAGCCAAATGTTGCTCATGGAGAAGATAGCAGGAGACAACAGAGCAGTATGGGGGACGAACGGAGGAATTTAAATGCTGACGCCGCTTTTGGGGGCGGTTTACCTTCGCATAGCGATGCTTCTCCTCCAGAAAAAAAAAAGGATGCAGAAATATGGAAAAAAGAATACCTGTATCGAAAGAGTCAGCAAAAATGAATATAAAGCCCACTGCAAATATGCATCTAATTCAATGCAGATTTGAGTCAAATAGTTAAAAAAAAAAAATAATTTCACGTGCGGCACGGTAGGGAAGCTAGGATTTTCATGAATGTTCGAAACTTCCTGATTACGGAGGCTGATTGTAAAGAGATGCTCATGCGCTCTTTGTTATCTAAGAACCGAGCCCTACTGATGAACTACCGTAGTTAACCATGTTAACGCGGTTCGGTTTAGTTGTGCATACCATTTATACGCAACAGTTATCGGACCGATCTCGGAACAGTTTCAAAAAGGGTAGTGGAAATGGGGCTATAAGCTAATAAGGTCATTTTAGCAGCTAAAGGGATTCATGTCCCTGAAGAGAAAAGGACATAATTCTGAGCGTGTAAGGATAAAACAATTACTCAGTAACGGAAATAAGCAGATTTAGATTTTTATATAGGAGGAGATTTAAAAATGGCGCCTGGTTGGAAACCAGTTAGAAAACTGAATTTATGACACATAGAAACCTTTGAACAAACTGAAAAAAAACTTCATCTTTCATTGCAACATAGTTCCAAACTATGTGTCAATAAATAAATAAATAAACTTTAATGCCTGTTGAGGATATGATATTTTCCCAACAATTTACTGTTAATAAACCTTTAAAAACTAGTGAATTAAGGAGAGGGGAAACTGGGTTTCCCTTTAATAACAAACCATTGCTTCTAAATGTGCTGCTAAGATAGATCTGAGTGACTGATCTGCATCACAGTTGAGGTTCCTATAATGTTAGTTCTAGAAAGTAGAGATTGAAGAAGCCTGTGCAGCCGCCATGTAACGGCCACCTGAGATATTTCTGACACTGCCTTCCCTAGAAACATAAGGTTTTACACCTGTTACAGTCCCCCATCTATACTTTCAGCTTCAAGCATGCAGAAGAGTCGACCCCTGTAAGCATCTCAGATCGATGAGAACATTTACTTCCTTCAGCATTTATCTTCATTAGTTCCAAGTAAATGCGCAGCAGTCCCTTTCCTTTTATTCAGTAGCAGTTAATTATTGTTTTAAAGGGGCGTCCAGCTGCAGGGCTGCTGCTGTGTTGCATCAAATGTCGCTGGTCCTGGAGCCCAGAGCAAGGTCCCCCAGTGTGGAGAAGAAATCCTCCATCTCCTTCTCTAGCAGACGGTTCCGGTTCTCAGCGTCCTTCCGGGCTCTCTCAGAGTTTCGCAGTTTGATCTCCAACATGTGCTGCTTCTTCTTCTCTTGCTCCATCTCCTGCTCTAAATGCTCCACCTGAGCAGTCAGCGCTGCGCTGGACTCCTCCAACCTGAAGGGATGCAGCACAGAGCAGATCACGGCCTGAATCAACCCACTGCTAACGTTAAATGCCATTTTAATATTCATTTCCATGTTATATTTAACCTAGGAATAAAGAAATAAAGATGTGACTAAAAGATTTTAAAAAACCTAAAAGTGATCACTCAAACTGAAGGCTTCAATGAGCATATATAGGCACCATTACTGATGCAAAATTAGTTTAATGATTTCTCAAAAAAAAAAATTTATTTATTGCATCTGGTTTCAAAACATTAATTGAAAATATATTTTGAAAATAAGGAGAAACAAAATAACGAATGTTACTTCACCTGAGTATATTTTAGAAAAAAATGTACTCTTTAGAGTATTTTTATTGTACTCTACTGTTGACATAAGTAATTCTTGTGAGGGTATTGATTGTTACTTTTTACTACATTTTCTGGTTCCTCTACCCACTGAGACTAACTTCAGCTATTTGGAGATCAGGTCAAAATACAGCAAACAGCAGATATTGTAGCTGGAAGTTCTTTATATTTTTTCTGACATATGTATGTAACTTATCATTAGGATTGGTTTTATAAATTTACATAACAAAAATGTTGAAAAGTGTTTCTTCTGGCAGAATATATTTTGTAATCATGTCTTTTAATTACTTTGAAATACCAGAATCTGAACACAACTCTCTGATTACATCATTTAAAGGTATAGAGGCCAATCTTTTATTTCTGGGTGGATCATCCTAATCAGTGGTCCTCTTAACTGTCAATCATTCTGGTGATCTGTTTACGTAAGGCCGTCCTACGTGCTCGGTCACATGACATCACCCGACTGTTCCTATTGGTGCAGAATCTTTCCTGGTTGGCATCATAACCAGAAGTAAATATTTATATATATTGGACACAACAAAATATATGCAACAATAATTTATACACTATTTTTTTGAGTAAAATGTATACTTTTATTCTGCACTACTGTAGCTGTGTGGATGTTTAAAAATATATATTTTTAATGAAATGTTGTAGCTGTGATATTTAAGTACATTGAAGGACCTGTACTTTTAATTTGACTTTTTTGCTTAAGTAATAAAGTCTAATGGATCCTTTGGTCGTTGAGGTTACATGTAAATGATGCAGAGTTATTCTCCACCCTGAAAGGAAAATCCCATTTCTTTTCCTGCTGTTATTATTTGTTCTTACTTCTGAATCCTGGCCTCGTATGTGGTCCTCTGGTTCCTCAACTCCTCCCTCAGACCCTCCACCATACTGCTCAGGTTTAGGATCGTCTCATCTCCATCCTCCGTCATAATAATGGACGGCAGAGCTGCCACCGCCGCTGTGGGCTCGCTGTCACCGCTGCAGATCTCTACGGCCTCGCAGCTGTCCTGGTCCAGGCCCGGCTCCTTTATCATCCCCTCTTCCTTTTCTCGCTCAGCCTCCCGCTGGCTCTCTGTCCACTCCACCTTCTCCTCACCATCTACTCCTCCTCTGAAGTTCTGAGGGGTTAAAAGTTCTCCACCGCAGCTGGGCACAGAGATGTCGCAGGAGGAGCTGGACGCACTGGGGACGCTGCTAGAAGAGGAGGCCACGTTGTCGTAAGTGGACAGTCTCTGGGACGAGCCGGAGGAGTCGCGATCTCGTGCAGATCGCTCACCAGAAGACGTGCGACGGTGTCCCCTCAAGGAGGACAAACCGTTCATGAGCCAGTTACCCCCTCCTCCTCCAGAGGAGGCGCCAGTATCCGCCGCTGTGGGGGTCTGCTTAGCCTGTGGCTGGGAACGGGGAGTCGAAGAAGTTTTAAAAGAGTATTTCCAGGAAGGCGCACTCTTGGCTTGTTTGCTTGGACTGACCACCGGTTCTCCTTTCCCTGCTGAAGCCCCCGGTTTTTGTCCGGGGGGGACAGCCGCACTCAGTTTGGTGTCCAGAGATGAGGCACTGCTGTGCAGCTCCGGGTCGGCGTTGGGAGCCGCACCGGTCTGTAGGTCCTCCTCAGAGATCCAGGCTCCCAGGCTGCGGTGCTGGAGTTGATGCCCCTGAGCGGGCAACTCAGTGTGAGGCAAGACATGTCCTTCCTGGTCCCTCCCTGAGAATAACCGCTGATGTTCCCTAATGAGGACGGTCATTAGGTGCTGGACCAGAGAAGTTCCTGGACAGCATAGAATAGCAGGTTAGGGTAGTACAGCAAAGTTTACAGAGGGGAAAAGTTCTTAAATATCCCCACATTTTAAAACCACAATAATCAACCAATGGGCGAATAGAAACGGGTCTGCTCTGCTTAGCAACAGCCTTTCTATTGGTTGGAGAACAGAACACCCAGCTAGGAGGAGATCTGTAAAACTTGATAAATATATGAAAAATAAACCTGGAAGAACCCTAATAAACTTATTTTAAGACCTGGAAAAATTTATTCTAGAAATTTTTTTTGAAAAATTAAAATAAAAAAAATAAAAACATGAAAAAAAGTTTCTGAAAAAAAAATTTAAAAACTTAATCTAGAAACTGTTTTAGAAAAATATAAATGTTAAAGTTAAAAATGTCTTCTGGGAAAAAAAATTATGCATATGCATAATAAATATCCTTTACATTTTTTTAGATTGAGATATTTTTCAGAGATAATTTTTTTGAATAAACGAATTTTATACAAATGACATTTTTTTAAATCTGTTCTTTGCTTAGAAAAATATTGGAACAGATTTCTCTCCATATTTTAACTTTCCTACAGAGACAAAACCTGCGCAACTTCTCTCAGTTTCTAAACCTGAATTAAAGAATAAAATAACACTTTTGGTTCACATAAAGAGAAGAACTCCACTACAATGATGATATTAAAGTGGAGTTAAATGCTAACGGGGGCAAAGGTTTCTGTCCTAGCGGGACGGCGCGTAAAGCGTCAGGCTGACCTTCAATGGGATGGTTTGGATCAAAGTTAGCTCATGTATAAGAACGGCCCAGTCAAAGCCTGGATGGAGTAAGCTCCTAATGGGGAAAGCTGTTAGCTAGATGTGCACAGATTCAAAACTCCCGGACAACTTTAGAAATAAATAAACAGGCATGTCACACTTTTCAGTTTTTAAATCTATTGGTGGGAAGCATTTCCTCTGGATTGAGGGGTGTGAATCCTTTGATCTGGTCCTCGTACCTTCCATGAGAGACACCGGGTCCTCCATCTTGGGTCGAAGGATATTTGGTCCAAATACTGTAGCGAGGTTCTGGACACTCATCTTGTTTTCGTTGCAGTGGGACTGAACCTCATCAAGGAACCTGGAAGAAAATCACAAAGGTCTAAAAAAAACACCAAACGTCTGCAGAGGCGGCTTTGGAAAAAGGAGGACCTACTTGCATATGTACTCGAGGAGATTGTAGTTGGGCAGAGGTAGAGTGTTGACTTGCTTTCCAAGCTCCTGGATCCCCTGATTAAAAAAAAAAAAACACATGTCAGCTGATGTCAAAGAAAGAAAGAAAACAAATTTGGAGGTAAAAGTTGCAGACCTCCTCCTCATCTTTGGACAAAAGCTGTGCACATGTTAGGAAGTCTTCATATTTGGAGAAGGGGATGACTGGTTCAGGCAGTTCCCTCAGGTACAACTTCAGCAAGGACGCCACCGTGTGGACGTCTGTGTTACTGCAGGTCAGAAAATGACACTTGAAGGTGGTCGTTTTGGGATTTCATAGAGATAAATCAAGTTGTTCAGTATTGAGTGCTCAGTGCAAGGGCCAGGAGCCGCTCTACAGGGGCCCTCACCTGTCAAACAGAGGCTTGTCTCCGCAGTCGAAGGCCTCCTGCAGCTCTTTGACCAGGTTGGCCTGTCCAGGCATCCGAAATAAACCCTCTTCATCCAGGCCCCTCTCTCTGATGAAGTCGGCGCACTGCTCCACCAGCAGCGGCGCCAGCCGAGGACCAAACTTCCTCTCAAACTGCACCGTGTCCTCCAGACGCTGGCCAAAGATTCCTGAACAATATTCAAAGTATGGTGGTAAAGAAGAGGCTCTGTGTAAAGGGAGGTTATTTAGCCTGGAAACCTTTTAGGAATTCAATGGTTTTAATGTATCTGAAAGTGTAGCAGAAAGAATTGCTGCTCTGCTCTCACAACTGTTTCAATACACTGCAAAAAATGAAAATCTAAATGAGTCGCATTTAAGCACATTTGTTCTTGAATTGAGGAGGTAAGTGAGACACTTTGCCAATGGAACAAGTCAATTTACATTTAAAATAAGAGAAAACAATTACATTATCTAATTAACTTACTTTAAGACTAAAAATGGCAAATCACCTTATTTGCCTACTCAAATTAAGTGTAATTACGCTTGATTTAAGAAAATTAGACTTTTCATTCTAATCGTTTTTGCAGCATACTGATCACTACAGTGGAGGGCTGCTTATATATTATTGTTGCAAAGAACATGTGGTGCGACCTCTAGGGGCTGAGGGTTTGCACCACCTCTGATTTATCAAAGGAAATATATCCCAGGTGTTTTTTACAGTTTCAGATTCGTCATCTGAAGCTAAGGCTTGTGATGTGCGACCGCTGTTTCCTTGGGTAGAGAAGGACTGTTCAGAGTGCTGCTGCTATCAGTTAGACCTGCTTTTAATAACAGACATTTAGCATAAAGACAGCAGGTTCAATTCTTGTGTGAATAAATCAATTATTATTTAAAAGGAAGGACTAGGATGTTGTAGGTGAAGCAGAATAACAGAATCAATTTTATTAAATGGGCTTAAAGTTCATGGTTTCTATACTACTTTGACTCACTTTTTTTGTGCCTGTTCTTGATGAAATACTGAAGAAACTTCAAGGTTGGAAATTAGCATGAGCAGGGAAGAGGCAGAGGAGTCAGGAAAAAACAGCCTAAATTTCTCCAAACATTGGTCAAAATTACAGAATGTTAAAATATGAAGAAACGTAAACATTAAAAAAACAATCAATGAATCAAAACAAACTACTGCAACATTTAATTCTCCTTTCAGAATAATATTTTTATTATTAATTGTATTATAATGATAATTGATCTGATTGTTCCTTATGTTCCTAACAGAGCACTTCGCTCTCAATCTGCAGGTTTACTACTGGTTCCTAGAGTTTCTAAAAGTAGAATGGGAGGCAGATCTTTTAGTTATCAGGCTCCTCTCCTGTGGAACCAACTACCAGTTTTAGTCCGTGAGGCAGACACCCTGTCTACTTTTAAGGCTAGGCTTAAAACTTTCCTTTTTGATAAAGCTTATAGTTAGAGTGGCTCAGGTTATCCTGAGCTCTATAGTCTATATAGTATATATCCTGTTTGGCTGTGACTCCATCCTGGAGAGAAATATCAGCTGTGCTGCTGCCATCAACACCTTTGTTTATAGATGTTGGAGATCGGCCTGTTTTCCAGTGTAGTCCTGTTTCTCTGACTGTGACTAACTGGATGTGCTCTCTTCATCCTCTGACATGGGAGCTGGTTTGGAGCTTGTCTGCCTGGCTGTGTGTTTCCTGGAAGGGGCCGCCTGTGGAGCTGGTTGACAGTTGCCTTTTGTATCTATGCTTCTTTTTCTATCTCTGCTTCTGTCTCCTTGAACCCCAGTCGGCCTCAGCAGATGGCCGCTCACACTGAGCCTGGTTCTGCTGGAGGTTTCTTCCTGTTCAAAGGGAGTTTTTCCTCTCCACTGTCGCTACAAGCATGCTTAGTCTGAGGGATTGCTGAAGAGTCAATTAGTCGATGCAATCAGTTGGTTTGCTTAAGTAGAACACTTTGAATGAATTTGACTGGATGATCTGGTGAACTTTAAAGTGCCTTGAGATGACATGTGATGGGAATTGGCGATATAGAAATAAACTGAATAGAATTGCAATTGAAATGAATTAAACAAAAGCATAAATGTGTGTCCTCAACTTGGTCGGACTCTTTTAAAATAAAACCCACACTATTGTAAATATGAAAATGTAAAATGCAAATCATTATGTATATAAAATACTTTTTATATTTTATTTGTAATATTTATGCTTGATTTTATTATGATGTTCATGTAAAGTTAAAGCTAATTCCAGACAAATATATATATATATATATATATATATATATATATATATATATATATATATATATATATAGATATATCTATATCTATATATATATATATTAAAATATATATATGTATATACACACACACACACACATTATTGTATAATACAAAATAATAGAATATTAAAGATTTAGTACAATAATACAGTGCAATATCTAATATAAAAAATGTAATATAATGAAAACTCTAAACTCATCCTTGACTGGCATAAATCTGTTTATCGTTTATAGCAGATATAAACTCAGAAGGAAGTTTTAGTGAATTAGCGTCTAATTACTGTTGGACTGGCTGCAGCAGTCACAGCTGGCTGACAGCTGGCAGTAATCAGAGTACTTCACCGTACAGGAGCTGCACGGCAGCAGGGAGCGTCTCTCATACATCCCAAAGCTGCACTTCACCAAACCAGTCCATCCTGTGTCTGGCATCTCACTCTGGGAACTGGGAGATTAATCCTTCACTCCAAACGGACCAGATTAGGAGAAGATCAGAAGAATGTCCCCATGAGGTCAGGGCGCTGTGAATCCCACAGCAGAGGCGCTGCCAGCCTCAGCTCTAAGAACCACAGATCTATTCTGGACCCTGAGCTGAGACGCACACAGCAGCTGGAAACCCGACCGCAGACAGGAGGGCCCAGTTATTTAACCCAGGGAGGGAACAGCCGCCTTAGGATCACATTTCTTCATCCCGTCAGGCTCTATCTGACACCATTAAGACAGAGATAGTGTCCCTTTAGAAAGGAGATTAATGTATGAGCAGAAGAAGCAGATGAGGTTTTGGCTGTGATGTCATCCAGTTTATTATTGGTAACCTCCTCCTGATTTATTAATACAGTTCCTGTGGTAACATAAGACACTGGTGAGACGTTCCCCCATGGTTCTGGTATCTCTAGGGAAGCTGATGCGGACCTGCAGGATCAGAACATCAAACCTTTGGGAAAGTTTGAAGGCAAAACTAATTATAAAAACCAACAAGTTCCACTCAACTGGTGGCTGACAGGAAATAGAAACTCCTGTGATCAAACCTGGACTTTTTTGGGAAAATGTCCAATAATAGAGCAACTAGATGAGGTTTCTGCAGATGTTTCTAAAGACGTTGTCGGCTAGGAACACAGAGGGAGGCAGGGAGGTGGTGGGAAGGCCTAAGGGGGGTAGATTTGGTGTTTACCTCCTCCAAATGGCGCCCAGATGACCCGCCGTATGGCCCTGACCCAGTCGTCCATGTCCGTCTGAGAGCTTGCCATGAGCAGGAAGGATTCATGGCTGATTGGGGCGCGCTCCTTTTCCACTGCTCCACCTGGGAGGCGACAAACATGAGGATCACACACGTGGTTCCACCAACAAGAGAGACATGAGAACCCATTTGATAAATGAAGCAGAACCGGATTAGTGAAGCAATTCATTTAAACATTCAATATGAAACATCTCCATATTTATATTGACCACTAGAGGATGCTATCGATACAATCTTTGGTACGGTGGAACTGAGAAGAAGAAAGTTTATTCAAGACATTCCAAGTGCTGTACATGAAAACAGAAAAAGGAAAGTATATAGCGGCAGTATAAAGGTTAATAATATATATAACCATAAATTATAAAGAAACAGTTATTACTTAAAATTAAGAAATGAGTGCTACGAAAATTAAGTGGTTACATATCTAAACTAATACTTTTTAAATAACTCTGTCAAAGGCCAAACTTTACGGTCTTCATTTAAAGCAACTGAGGGTTTTAGCACTTTAACAGTTTTCTAGAAATTTGATGTTTTCAGTATTTTGTTCTGGGTCTAGGTATGCAAAGTAGATTTAAGCCAGTTGACCTGAGAGGTCTGGCTGTCGATCGCCTGCCAACCAGCCTGTCATGTACTTTGGAGCTCAGTCATTCAGTGATTTCTAGACTAACAGGATGATTTCATAATCTATTCTCTGAGCTACAGGGATCCAGTGGAAGGACTTCAGAACTGGGCTGATGTGCTCTATTTTCTTAGATCTAGTGAGAACGCGGGCAGCAGCGTTTTGGATCAGCTGCAGCTGTCTGATGGACTTTTTAGGCAAACCTATGAAGACAATGCTGCAGGGATAAATTCTACTAAAGATGAACAAAGCAGGAAATAGTTTTTCCAGGTCCTGCTGAGACATTAGTCCTTTACAGGTTAACATACCTATGCAGACGACACACAGCTTTACATCAGTGTCACCAGGTGACTCTGAACCCAACAGAGAACCCACTTTTGTTTCGTTTACTCCCTTATCACAGTGGTTTCAGTCACATGCCTCATTTAAGGGTGAGTCAGGTAAGGACAGGTCAACTTCATGTTCAGTAGCCTGAACTGAACTCTTCAAGCTTTATCTTGATGACTGAGAATCTTCACAGATATCTGACACTAAACACCCCCCTAACCCACCACCACCACTTCCTAACAATCTTCCTCAAATTGAGGTGATGCATACTCTGATCTTGCTTTTTTTCTGAGTAGTGTATTGCTGTTGAACCTCCTGCTTTTTAAATAAAGCGAACATTGGTGCAATGAGGCCCTCTCTCCACTAGATGGCTCCATCGGTTCTACTAATGCCTGGCCTAATCAGCAAGGCTTTAGATCTAACATCAGCACCAGAGGTGTTAAAAGTATTCATGTTTATTACTCCAGTAGAAGTGTAACAGTACCATTTAAAAACTACTTCAAATATAAAAGAAAAAGTAATGCAGGAAAAGTTGTTAAGGCCAGAAGCTTTACTGCTCTACCCTATTAAAGGAACATTTTTCTACTATTCTGAATGATAACTTCCTTAGACCTTATGTTCTTTGTTTTATAACTAATGGTAACAGAGTCACATTTAACTTTGCATCATCTTGAAAAACTATTTATTTTGATATGTAGTGAACAACAAGTTCGGGCAGCACCAACCACAAAGAAATTCATTGTTTGGATAAAACCAAATATTTTGATGGGTTTTTTTTTTTTTTTTTTTATACCAACAGGCCGTAATGAAAATGAGCTTTAATGAAACAAAACTAATGTGTTTTTAAAATCTAAGGAGTAGAAAGTAAAAATTTGTAAAAATACTTATTCCAATAAAGAATTGATGGACAATATTTCTACTGAATTAAGGAAACAAAGTATTTGTACTTTGTTACTTGAGTCCTCTGATCAGCACATAGAGAAAAAATAAAACAAAAACAGTTAAGATGACCTAAAATTATTTATATATAAGAAATAATTGTTGAATAATAACTTTATGCAAAAGAAAAAATATATTGCAGCAAAAAAGCTGTTATCTTAAAAAAAAGTCCTCTCATATTTAGAATTCCAACTTCTGAAAGTCCTTTAAATATGAAATTATTCCATCCTGTTCAATAAATGATCAGTGTTTTTAATTAAGAGAAATTTTCATGTGAATGTGCTTTACTGGAGGCATCCATGTTTGTCAAAGAACACTACTGCCACCTACTGGTTAGTGACGTCACGGTGCGGTATCGGCTGTTGATCAAGTCCCAGTGCTGTATCTGGTGTTTGTCACAACGCGCTATTATCCAAGTCATCTTGAAAACATTCTTCTTCCAAATGTTGGCTACATATTACGGGTTTTTTCTCTGGCCAGAAGTTCGATGGCAAATCCTCCCTCTTCAAGTTGGCGATCCAACGACCAACCCGTCCGTGGAGGATCAGGAATCAGAAAGGTGAAATAACTCTTTTTTTCTTTTTTCCCCGATGTATTCCAGCATCCAGCTGCCATGCACGTGGGCATTGTCAGTTTCACTATAGCTCTGGTGAATTTCAATGGTGAAGTCCTCTGGAAATCTTCAATAATTGTTGTTGATTGCAGATGTGTCTAGTAGTTCCCATTGATTTAGCTTGTAAAGCGGGGAGAATGGCGCTAGGCTTACCGCACCGTGACGTCACTGCTGGAAGATGGCAGGAAGGAAGGGTTACTATATTTGGGCAAAAATGGCCGCTCCCAGACTCAGTGATGGCCACGAAAATTATTATTTTATTTTTTTACTGATCAATGCTAAATTCATTAAACACTGCAAACGTATTATTTTAGATATAAATAATGATCAATTAATTATTCCTTACTGACCGGACTTTTCCTTTAAGCTCAGCTTATGATGTTTTTTTTTCTTATGTCTTTGGCATCTATTTGAGTAATTTAGAGAATGTCTCTGTGTTCCTGTTTGGAGTCATTAGTGTCGGGTGTTGGTGTTTCCACAGACACAGTCATGGTTGTCACAGCCATCTAACCAAATATAAACAGTGGCTCAGTAAAAGCTGAGGGCCATTGTCACCCATCTTTTAAAGTCACACTCTCATGATGAGCAGAGCTGTAACCAGAAGCATGGATGTCTGGATAATCTGGGTTCAGTCGGGATGGTAGATTCAATCTGAACACCAGCATCACCTGGGAAAACTAGAAACAGTGACTCTGAATCATCTTTTTAACCAGACTTCTCTCCCAAAACAAACATTTGTTATGGTCCCAAATCGATTTGGACTGGAAGGGTTTGAAACGCTGAAATGAGAAGAACATTTCTGGAAGTTATCGCCTCTGCAGTAAAACATTATAGCTGCCTTTTTGTAGAAAAGTTGCTTAATTCAGCCTCGCTGCTCAGTTCTGTACGGTGAATGTCCTGTTTGACGCCGTTCTACAGTATTTCAACCAAACGCAAGAGCAGACTTTGACTACACTGGAAAAAATGTTTATCTAAGTTAGTAATTATTTCTTAAAATAAGTGGATTTTTCTTAAATTGAGCAGGTCAGTGAGAAACTTTGCCAATGGAACAAGACAATTTAAATTTAAGATAAGAAAAAACTATTTCATTGTCTTATTTCAAGTGTATATTATCTAATTACCTTATTTTAAGAGTAAAAATGCTCATTCTATTGGCAAATCATCTTATTTACCTGCTAAAATTAAGGGTAAATGCAATTCATTTAAGACATTTGGACATTTCTACATCGTTTTGGCAGTGCACACAGCAATTTAAATAAGACATTATTTTTTTTAAATAAGTTCTTAAATTGAGGAGATAAATGAGATACTTTGCCAACAGAACAAGACAATTTACATTTAAGATAAAATAAGAAAACACAATTGCATCGTCTTATCTGAAGTGCATATTATCTGATTATCTTATTTTAAGCCCGGTGGGCCCGGGACAGGGCCCATCTGACACCAGCTGATGTTTATCTTATAGAAATTGTCAAAACACAGTCACATGGTGTTTAATCCACAAGTCTTTCAAATGGGGCTTAAAAATTTCTAAAACATGTTTTAGAATTTTTTTTCACAAATATTTTTTGTTTTATAGCTGTATAAACAAATAAAATGAGATTTAAAATTCCACCTGAAATGTGTGACTCTGTGGGAGTAATGCAACAGCAGGTATTCAATTTTAGCCCCGCCCCCTAATGGCCGCCATCATTGGAAACTAGAGGCTCAGACCTTTCCAAGGAGGGGTCGGAGGTCATTATGTGACCATTTCAGGTGATGTAACCGGCATGCGTTACATAAGCTTGCTCTGTTATTTTCTATTCAGTTTGGTGATATTATTGGTAAATTTCAATGAACCAACGGATAAATCTTATGAGCAAAGGCTTTGTCTTATGCAGAAGGTCTCCAATAAAGGAAATCAGCATATTTGTCTGACCAGATTCCCTTTTATGAGTGGAAGAAATGCATTTTTGCATAATTTGGCCACTTTTAGCATTGTGCCAAATCCTAGCACACTGCCAACTAAAACCTTTGTGGAACAAACATGCTTCAACTTATTCAGTTCAACTTTGCTTGACTTATAGTCAAGATGTGGATCTATAAAGTCTGAGGGTTCATCTAGAGTTTCTAATGGGCTTTAATGGTGTTTTGCAGAGTTTATTTTGAAAAAAAAAGTTTGCAAGGCTAAATTCTTTTCTTTCTTTTTTTTGTTTAATCACATATAAATTAGACATGACATTAAAAATGGTGGCTCCAACTGAAAAATAGTCCTCTCTGATACAAATACAAGCAATTGTATTTCCATTTTATAGTTTGGGAGCTGTACTTGCTTTAATTCACAGATGTCATTTTAGGTGGAATTTGCTCCTAAGACCCTCTGGGCTTCAGGGGTTATGGGTAAAAACACTAATTACATTGGCAGATCATCTTATTTACCTGTTCAAATTAAGGGTAAATACACTTAATTTAAGAAATTTGTGCTTATTTTCTAGATAATGTTTTGCCGTGTGTGGTTTTCAATGGTTTTATCACTCATGTAATGAGAACTAGTTGTTGGCCTAAGATTCAGCTGTCTGTCAGTCTGTCAGGAAAACTCAGCATGTGTTTGTGTAAATGCCTCCTTTCTCTCTATAAGCCTCTGGGACAAGCTCATTAGCTTTTAAAACAGCAGCCATAACCATTTTATAATTTAAACTGTCCTTTAAAGGATCAACCCTTCCTGAGCTTTACTAGAACATTTGGTTTCTGTAACCCACTGGAAAGAAACAGCAGCGCCTAAAAATGCTGAAAAGTATGAATCAAGTGGAGATTCCCTGACAGCAGGTAGAAGTGAAATGCAGTTAATGACGTCAGATGACCTCACTGACATGGAAGCTATTGTCTGAGCAGAAGAAGGAGGCGCTGATTAACCATTAGGAAAAACCAAACAGTTGCGCATAAAACTCTGTTTCCATGTATGGTTAATACAGCTATTCCTTATTTGTGCACATTAATTATGTTTTTAATAAAAGTAATTTCTCTAAAATGCCATCAGAACGCTGAAGGTGTCTCAGCCCCCCCCTTCAGTGTCCACCATATTGGATCAGTCCGTTTGCTGCACATGTTCAGAAAGGTCCAAACAGGCAGCAGCAAACCATTTGAAAACAAACCATGCAAAGAGTAGTGTTGCCAACTTAGCGCTTTAGTCGCTATATTTAGCGACTTTTCAGACCCCTCTAGCACTTTGATTTCAAAAAGCGCCAAATCTAGTAACTTTTTTTCTGCTACTGGAGACGTTGGAGACAACATCTAAAAGCAGCGAACTCTGCTCTCCAGAGCGAGTAGATTGGTAACACCGCCTCCTGCTCTCCTCTATCTTGTCTGCTGTCATGATTCATGCAGCTATTATTTCATCCAAATGAAAAATGGAGAACAGAGAAGCAGATCATGGCTTGTCTACAGTGAAAAGAAGGACTGGGTTATTTACTTTGGCCTTTTTGGAAACACAGGAAGGAGCAATCAGCTAAGTTAGCTTAGTGCTTGGAAAAAATCTTTCATTCCTTTAGAGACAGCATGAAAAGTCAGCTGAGTACAAAACATAGAGAGGAAAACAAGAAGAAAAGGGACAAGAAGAGAGGGACACAACCTAGAACAGATAATGGATGTCTATTCTATTAACATTTATCTATCTATAGAATGGGTCTGTTTTATGTGTTGCATTCTTAATTCGGAGGGGCCCCCTGCCTGTCTTTGCCTAGGGCCCCAAATTTCCTAAATCCGCCCCTGAGTACTGAAGTAATCTTAAAAAATGTTGATGGTCCAAAATATATAAATATTTACTGGTTATGATATCAAAGGATTCTGCACCAATAGAATAAGTAGGTTTAGGTCATGTGACGCGGAGGTTCAGGCGTTGCCAGATCCTGATGGAGGATTTTAAAGACTGTCGGATGTTTCCCTCACAGACTAAATTCAGAGAGCCATAAACCTTTGCAGGCCTTCAGCTGTTTAGAGTCTGACATCATCATTTTTTAATATTTAATTCTTTCATTATTTAAACTTTCTGAGACACACATTTTTTTATTATTAAACTGACAACAAATAAAAGCTACATTTCTGGATTTCAATTTTTATCAAATGGGTGACAAGAAAAAAATTTTTTATAACATGTTTAATGTTTCTACACAAAATGATAAAAATCTAAAGTTAATTTAAACCGATCTGCACATAGAGGCAAAGCTAAATGCAAAATAGGATCCAATTCTGTAGTGACTCAAAGATTGGCTTTAAAAACAGAAAACTGCTGGTTATGCAATGAACAAGCAGCATGCAGCTGCAGGTCTCCTGCAGTTTATGGACGAAAGGTGAGGTACACCTGGACAGGTCACCAGTCCGTTAACCGGCAACACACAGCCATGCACAGGGAGAACATGCAAACTGCATCCAGGGAGACCCTGCACTGGGACTCTAACCCAGGAAGCTTCTTGCTTCAATGCAACTGTGCTACAAACAGCCCACTGTGCAGCCCACACCAAAATATTAAAAAAGAAAACAAACTTAAACTTTAAAGAACAGAAAATTATATTGGACCATCAACATTGTCCTGGTAGAGAATCTGTATCAGATGTGTCTGTAAGAGACACCATCATGCTCAGAAAATGCAGACATTTCAGCAGCTGGATGGTGAATCCGGGTTCAGACAACAGAGCAGCTGCTGCTTTCATGCAGCCTCTTAAACCGCCTCCTATGATTAAAAAAATAAATAAAATTAAAAACAATCCACTGGACTTGGTTTCCATGTTTGAAGACATTTCTCTTCCCATCCAGGAAGCTTTTTCATTTCAAAATGTCACAAAAAGCTTTGAGTTCCAGGTTTTGCCTCCTATGATGCATTCAGGGTCACAGCATTTCTGCTTCCTGTTTGGACTCCTACTTAGAAATATTTATCCAAGTCAGCCACAAAAATGAAGTTGTTGGGGTGTTTATCCTGTGCAGAACCCCCCCCCCCCCCCCAAAAAAAAAGAAAAACGAAACATCTAAGCTCTGCATGCTAAGCTACTGTTGTGTAACTTTGAATCAGAAAGCTCACATCTTTATATCATCTCTTAAACAACAGGATACCAGGTTTGCTGCCATGATCCATTTTTATACATTCACAGATTTTTGCAGATTTCACAGCAAAATAAGTCTAAACATTCTTTAAATTGTGTGTAAAAGTCAGGAGAATTTGAATCAGAGCCCAACAATACCAGAAAAGCTCGTTGTGACTCTGCTATAAATCTCCCAGCAGTCTCAAAGCCACTCAGTCCTCGTCCTCCCTGTCCGCCACACTTGTAAAAACTCTCCAGCATCTGTTTCCCGTTACCTTGGAGACGTGCTTTCCTCAGTCTGCCCGGCTTGCAGCAGACCGGCCCCATGTCTAAGGCTGCAGCAGGGACAGGCAGAAAGCTGCAGCATAAAGAAGCAGCTCCTCCTTTTGGAAGCAGATCGGCACACAGGTAGGTGCGCCAGCGGCCAGAACTTCCTGCTGAGGCATGCTCCACTCTGCTGGAAGCCAGAGGCGTCAGACGAGCCGATTCCTACTCCTCACTCAGCGGTGCAGGCAGCAGGTCTGCCCTCAGCCCCCCTGGGGAGAGGCAGCTCCCTGCAGAGGGCTGGATCGAGGCTCTCTCTCTTTGTCTTTGGGTGTCCCAGGAGTGACTGGGAGGTGGGCTGTCCTCCAATCTTTGTCAAACTCATAGCAACAAACAGGGAAAACACACAAAGCCTCTCGTGGAGCAAAGCAAGCATTGAAGATGTTTCTTCCTACATTTAAACCTTGGAAACATTCAAAGCATTGTTATAGTTTAAGAACTTTTTGGACACATTTGTTTCTTTGCAGCAGAGTGATATCTCAGTTCTTCCCCTCCAGAATGTCTCCTCGTCCAGATGTGTCAGTGTGCAGCACCATCCTTCCTGGGTTCCTCTGCTTGGCCTGTCCTCCATGGATTCTGGTCTGGTTTAGTTTACTGAAAGGCTGCTTCCAGCCGGTCAGCCATCGTCCAGTCTGGTCAGAGTTCGTCTCCACTCATCGTTTCCCTGCTACCCATCTGTTCTTCCTGACACCAACCAGTTCAGTCACCCTCTGGCAGCTCAAACTTGTCTCCATGCCAACTTTCATCAACATTCATATCAGAGTCTTTCAATAAACCTTAAGGATCACATTGAACAGGTAAAACTGAAGCAACCGTGTGCAAGACTAAAAGCATGGGGGGTTAAGTGGCTGAGATCAGATCCTGGTCTGAGAAGTGTTGTGGGAAAAAAAGTAGTTAACTTTTTACTCCAGTTAAATAAACGGAGATCAATGGATTTCACTCAGTCAACATTTTATTTTTATCTTTGCAAAAGAGAACAGTTCATCATACGGCCCTTATTGCACGGTAATCAGCCCTGGTCTGATCTGGGCAGCGTTCGTTCCCCCTTACTTACAATAATGGAAAGTAGTCAGGGTATAAACAAATTACAGACACTTTGGTTAAACAGTAACATGTTAACCTGAGAAAGAATCGGGTTTTTTATGGGAAGAAGCTGTCTGGTCTAAAACCATCCCTCACTCAGGGGCATTCTGTGGCCTTGCAGGTGAAACAGGCCAAGTAAAAACTTTGATAGTGGATAAATAAGATGAATTAATATATGAAATAAGAGAAACTAAATTTTCCAACCACATTTCCACCCTTTTGATTGTAAAAGGATATTATCCTTGTGTATTTGATAATAAAAAAAAGGAAAATGAGTCAATACATGTCTGGTAAATGGAGATATTAATAAGTTGGAGCAGATAATTTTCCTAGAAATCAAGTGGAACAGTTTACCTGTGATTGCATTACTATGGCAACAGGTTTGGGAACAGATCAAGTTTGTATCACTTTGTGCATCCAACAGTAACTACTAATCACACATTTGAAAAGATGCTGGTAAAGTTTTTCATTCATCTGGGAGAAGATAAAAACTCTTTTCACCTCTCTGGGTTTGTCAGAGGAGAAGAAGCTATTTTCCATTTAAAGAGAGAAAACGACTCCAAATTCAGAAAGGAGTCTCCCTCGGTTTCTAACCACCAACATATATTTTTTTACTGATTAATGCTAAATTAATTAAATCATCACAAACATATTAGTTTTAGGTATAACTAATGATCCACTGATTATTCCTTGCTGACCGGACTGTTCTTTTAGGAGTAAAAATACTCATTCCATTGGAAGATCGTCTTATTTACCTGCTCAAATTAAGGCTAAATATAATTTAATTTAATAAATTTGTACTTATTACTAGATTGCTTTTGCAGGTTAGATCTTATAGTCAAACTATTTTTCCTTTTAATCGCTTTGCTCTTCAGCTGTCTGGTTATTTTCCCTCAAACTTTCTTCTTTTTTGGGGTTCAGTGCTGCAGGCCGGTGGGTTCACGCCCCCCTGTAATATTGACTGCTCTGAAGCAAACAGAAGCCTTATTTTAAACCAACAGTCACCTGCTGAAGGAATGAAGGACAATCAACATTCAAACCTGCGTCGAACCTTCATCTTTCTGGCTCTTTTCAGAACAGCCCTGGTGTTTTATATTCATGGGGGAGAAGATGTCTTCACATGTCAGCAAAAAATCTTTTTCTGAAACCAAAGCTAACTGGATGCATAAACTCTGAAGGTGTTGAAGTGTGCAAACTGGCATTTAGTGAGCAAAGTTTGGCATGTGGGACGACCAACAGATCATCTACTATTCCTTTAATTAAGATGGTTTTGGAAAATCTACTCCGTCTTCTGTCATTTATTTGGAAATATAGGGGTTTTATGCTCCTTTGTTTCCTTTTTGGTACAGGGTGGCTCAAACTGAACTAGTTCATCCATTTTCTATGGCTAAGATAAGAGCTGATAAAAACATTTATCCTTTTAAGTCTTATTTCATCTCAGTATAGGTAAAGATTCATCCAGGGTTGTAGATTTGTAATTTGAACTTTCAATTTTTTCATCCATACTTATATTTATTTAAATTTATAAATAAATTTAAGTCGTGCTTTTAAATGTGTGATTCTTTTTCATGAATTTCTGTGTTTTTTTGTGTGCATGATCTGGGCTCTTCAGTTTGGGATTTGTATTTTCCATGGCATATTGTGGCCAGGCTCTTGGAGAACAACACTAGGAGGCACTAATCCTCATAAATTGTTAGAGGAAGGAGAGTCCTGGACAAACCCAAACTGGGAAAGTTTTATGTCCAGAAAAGACAAAGGTTTAACAATTTCACCACAAAGGGAAACATAGAAATGTATGCAGCCGTAAAGGTGAACCCTTCAGCCGTTCTGGGATTTTTGTTTCTTTTTAGTTTTCAAGTTGGGTTTTTAGCCTGGATTTGTTATTATGCTTTAACTGTTAACAATGATATCATGTCTGGAATTACTTTTTAGTTTTACTATTCCTTTTTGGTGTTTTTTCATTTATCTCTAGTCCCCTATCCTAGTTTTCCCTTTGTCGTTGTTTGTTTTCGGTCCAATCCCTAAAAACGAACTCTGAGCTCTTAACCCTCAGTTTGCGTGTTTCTGCAGAGGATCTGCCACATTAAGGGCCATCCCAAACCACTTAGTGGGTAGGCCAGCGGACCGTTCTGTAATGATCTGCCCTGATAACTCACCTTAATTGCTCATCCCACTCACATGCCTAACTCTGCCCGGTTTTCTAATTATCACTGATCTAATCCACCTGTTGGTTCTCCTTTATATTAAGCTGATAATATAAAGGTAGAAATCCTGCTGTTTAAAAACACTTTTGTAGAAGTTAGAGGATCAACTTCAGGTTTTTATTCCAGTAAAAGTGTAAAAGTACCATTTTTAAAACTAAAAGTATAAAAGTAAAAGTAATACAGGAAAAACTGTCAAGGCCAGAAGCTTTACTGGGAACATTTTACAAAGGAACATTTTTCTACAATTCTGGATGATAGCCTCCTTAGACTTCATTTTCTTAGTTTTATAACTAATGGTAACAGTGTAACATTTAACTTTGCAGCTTCTTGAAAAACATTTTTTTTCGGTATGTGATGAGCAACAAGTTGGGGCAGCACCGAGTCCAACCAAAAATAAATGAACTGTCTGGATGAAACTAATTATTTTGATAGTGTTTTGTTTTTTTAAACACCAACAGGCCATAATGAAAAATGGAGCTTAAATGAAACAAAACGAATGAGCCTATTTTTCAAATGTAAAGAGTAGAAAATAAAAAGTTGTCTAAAAAATAGTTACTCCAGTAAAGTATAGATAGCCAACATTTCTACTGAAGAAAAGTAACAAAGTATTTGTACTTTGTTACTTGGCACCTCTGCAAATGTGAAAAACTCAGAGCAGATGTTATTTACTGGTTTATGAATTCTATAAAGGTGTTACTTGTTGCCATGTGGCCGAGATGTTCAGTAGGATTTCTCATAGAAGTGCTGCGGTAATACATTCAACCTTAAACCTCTGTTCTACAGTGAAGTTTTGTTTTTAAATAAGAAATAGTAATAATAGTAATAATGTTCTTTATTTTCATGCTGAAGTTCTTTCCAGGTGATTTAGAATCTATAGCAGGTGTTTCTACACATCAATAGGTGGTTTCTGAAAGTCACAGGTTCTAAAAATTGCTCTAAAAATTAGACATAAATGTACTGATATTAAAAAAGTTAATTTGTATTCTTGGATACTTAGGTACAGTTTTAGTCCATGAGGCAGACACCCTGTCTACTTTTAAGGCTAGGCTTAAAACTTTATTTTTTGATAAAGCTTATAGTTAGAGTGGCTCAGGTTATCCTGAGCTATCTCTATATTTATGCTGCTATAGGCTTAGACTGCTGGAGGACATAGGGAACCCCGTTTCATCATTCTGCTTCATTCTTCTCTCTATTCTCCCACTCTGCAGAATCTGTTAGTTCAATCTCTAACGTTCTGCTCTCTCTGCTTTTTCTCATAGTAGCTTCATCTGGTCTGTTCCTGTTTGGCTGTGACTCCATCCTGGAGAGAAATATCAGCTGTGCTGCTGCCATCAACACCTTTGTTTATAGATGCTGGAGATCAGCCTGTTTTTCAGTGTAGTCCTGTTTCTCTGACTGTGACTAACTTGATGTGCTCTCTTCATCCTCTGACATGGGAGCTGGCTCGGAGCTCGTCTGCCTGGCTGTGTGTTTCCTGGACGGGGCCGCCTGTGGAGCTGGTTGACAGTTGCCTTTTGTATCTATGATTCTTTTTCTATAACTGCTTCTGTCTCCTTGAACCCCAGTCGGCCTCAGCAGATGGCCGCTCACACTGAACCTGGTTCTGCTGGAGGTTTCTTCCTGTTCAAAGGGAGTTTTTCCTCTTCACTGTCGCTACAAGCATGCTTAGTGTGAGGGACTGATGTAAAGTCGATGCAATCAGCTGGTTTTCTTTAGATAGAAAACTTTGAATCAATCTGACTGGATGATCTGGTTAAACTGTAAAGTGCCTTGAGATGACATGTGTTGTGAATTGGCGCTATAGAAATAAATTGAATTGAATTAAATTGAAGTACTCATAAATGTATTTACTTTTGAATACTTAAGTACTTTCAAAAGCGAGTACTT